CCAGGATACAAATCCCCGCAAATGGGTCGCCAAATCTTCACCGATATTGCACTGCTGGTTGCTGGTGAATTAACAGTAATAATTCTCGCTATACTGCCCTGCTAAGACAAGAAGTCGTATCTGCAATTTTTCACTTTTTCAGCTTATGCAGAATACTGGTATAACAGAGTTTSTTTTACCTCCCAGACAAGGTCTGGAAGTCGTATCATCATTAGAATMCGGGTTTTCAATGATATTTGTATGYCYTATCTGCAAAAATCTACCAGTTACCAGGTCAAAAAGTCGTATTGATAATTACCAAGTCATATTGTCGTATATCTGATTAATAATATTTCAATTACGACATTCTGGCTTGGTATCTRTACTAAGTCGTAATGATCAAAAAGTCATAYTGATAATTATTATTGAGTCTTTTTGCCGTATATGCAAGTGTGGTTAGAGATRTTATGGTTAGAGTTCGTTTATTAACTGATATTATTACTGCGATTATTTTAGTGGTTGTATTTGTTAAGTTAGTTTCGAAAGTGTTATATAAGTTGTTCATGTTTTAATATTCTGTTGATATAGAGAACAAGGCATTATTATCTTTATATTTAACTTATATCTTCTATTTAACTATTTCATGTGTGTTTCATCCGTGCCGATTATTCTAAGGTTATGTGTTTTTTATTTATTTCTAGATGTCTGCTAGATCTTAAATGTTAGTTTTACTAGCCCTAAACAAGGAATTAGCTCAAAAAATGTCCATATATAGAGCTAATAATATACATGGTAGACTAAACAAAAATTCTATTGATAATTCACACGATCCAGATTTTACTGTGGAGTCTGAACTGCCAACTGAGACCGCAAGTGAAAAGCCTGCAGAATTAATTGGAGATTTATTAAACATTATCATAGAAAATGCTTTGAAACCCGGTGAACAAAATCAATCACGAAAATTCACTCAACAAGGAAAAGTTACAGGAAAGAAAGAAACTGAAAAGAGAGGAAAACATTGCACAGCATGACGTGCAAGAAACATGTAAGGAAAATTGTGCCGAAAAAGGTACCCAAGCAATTGACATATGGAGACAAAATGATATAAATAAAGAATTCTGGGAAATGACCCATGAACAACAGCGTCAATTTATTTTTACCACGTTAAAAAAAATCGATAAAAAAAACTAAAGATAGTTACTATGTGGTCTCGAACAAACGTGTTTTTAAAAAACGACTTTATTGAAGCGAGTACAGGATGAGAATGAATATGATCTTGGGCTTGCATGTTAAGGAAAACGATCTTAAACAATAGACACTAAGATGCTGCGTCTGGCTGAAATGCAGTCTTAGTGATAAGGCGATTGTAACTAGATGGAGACTCCAGGAGAAGTAATACCTACTATTTAAAATCAAATAGTTCAAAAGTAGAGATGATTGAAATGAGCCTTAATGATTTTCATGATTTTATTGACTATTCTTCAAGATTCAAAATGAACAAAATTACACCCAAAACCTTATTTAGCAAATTTTGTTGAAGTTCAATTTAAAGGGGGCTCTAAAAACCTTTTTTACAAAACGAAATTTAGTGGACCACTGATTGAACTCAACTTTCTTATAACATTATAAAAATTATAAACATTATAAAAATGACCTACCAAAACCTGTGATCAGATTGGCCCCTAAAGGAATTGACAAGGATAGGAAAGCCAAATTGCTGCAAAAATTGGAATGGAACTGGAACGACGGAAATTACATTCAAAGTGACTAGTATTAGGTACTGTATTATTTTTAGTTAATATATGTTTTTCTTACAAAGTTTTTGTTGTTTGCTTTTATGTTATTTGCTAAACTATGAGTAGTATAGTGCAAAATTACTTAGTATGTCTATACCTTAATAGTATGAGAATACTAAAACAAAAAGTCGTATCTAACAAAAGTCAATTTTTTATCAAATCCCAAAATTTACAACCTTAAGATTTCTTGTGTAAGTTTATTAACGGAAGTTCACATTGAGATCTTAAAAAAGAACAGTTTTGCAAATAAGCGAAGATGGCATGTCATAATTTACAAATTGCTTAATATCTCAAAACTTGGGTTTTGCAGATACGACTTCCTGTCTTAGCAGGGCAGTATAGTCTTGCGACGACTCTCCAAGCCTGGTTCAGATCAGGCTAATTATCCAAAAATCACATCTACGGCCCGATAAACAAACATGGGAATGCGTTTTCTGTGAAAACGCAAAAATAAAACTAAATCGGGACTAACAGGTAGAACGGCCCTGAAGAGTAACAGCCCATCGACACGACACGCTGTCTAAAAATAAAGGGAGTTTAATAGACACGTCACAATCGGGGTAAAAGCCCGTTTTTCTTCTATAAGAGGGGCTGGAGTTAAGCATAGAAAACCCACCCGCTCCAAATGGCGAAATTCGTCGAAAGGTTAAAGGATAACAATAAAAAACAACTTGAATTTATGGAATCAAATGCCGTCAAAAAAATGAAAACTCCGCTACTATTTCCCAATGGGACGAAAAAACCTCCCCCTCTTTCTGAATAAATACTAAATAGAAAATTATGTTCGATAAATTCTTTGGCAGACTTTCGGCAACGAAGTCTTGGGAGGTGCGAGAATTTAAAATTCATGAAAAAGTATATTTTACCATTATGGGGCTGTAATGATTATTTGACTAGCGAAGCCCCGAGGGGCCGACATTCTATCATAAACAGCTCAGCCTTAACAAGGTCGCGCGGAATTTATTTTTTTCAATGAATACGAAACGAGCTCTAAGCAGAAGTCACTCCGAACATATTTTGCTTGCTGCCTTTTCAGCGGGGCGAAAGCTCAAAAAATGGCTTTTTATGCATGCTTGTTTTAATCTCTTGTCGGAGGTTTTTTCAACCAGTTTGGACGCTTAGCTTGTGTTGTTTTTTATTGCGACATTAGTGAAAAGCGACAAATAAATTCGAATTTTTTTCTGGTTTTTAAATCGTTAACGCTTGGCATCTTTGCCTCAAAATCTGTGTGATTTTTATGCAAAAACTATGAAATATTCTCAATTTGGAAGTTTTTTCTCTTCTAAACACTTCTAGAGGCATCTAGGGGCTGGGAATAACAGTAAAACGAATCTGGAGAGAATGACAAATGCCTTTCTACAGTTTTCATCCTTTCTGTCTTTAAATATAGAACACTTTCAAACAATTTTTTTTACAGGCCGGGACCAAGTAGAATGTCCTTCTGTTGAGGAGGGAACTACCTAAATAGAGGGAAAAATAAGAAGGCTAAACGAGGAAACACGACTTTGCCCTTCGATTATCTCGACAAAATTCTGATGTTATTTAAACTTTTACGTTAACATGAATATACAAGGTCTCACTTAAAACGCCAAAGTTGCATTTTTTCTTTAATAGACGTTTAATTGCGATTTTTTTTAAGTTGCTTCCTCTTATTGACAATTGCAGTTTTTCCGGAACAAGACCAGATATAGCAAGGTTTGAGTTACTGGAATGGAAAAAGCACTTTCTTTTTTGATAGAAAGCGATTTTGCTTCGAACCACTTAACTTTCCGATGAAACTGTGCGAAAACTCTCAGGTGCTCCTGACATTCTCGCTACCTCCTTGAACATTCTGATCTGATAGAAATCGACTTTGCGCTGAAACACTGACATTTCGAGTGAAGCTGTGCGAAAACTCTCCATTTCTCCTGACATTATCGGTACCTCCTTAAACATTCTGTTCTGATAGATATCGATTTTGCTTGGAACCACCCTAAATCTCCGATAAAACTGTGTGAAAACTCTCCATTGCTCCTGACATTATCGCTACCCTCCTTAAACATTCTGCCCCCCTGATAGAAAGCGATTTTACTTCGAACCATTTAAATTTCCGTTAAAACTGTGCGAAAACCCTCCGTTGCTCCTGATATTATCGCGACCTCCTGAAATATTCTGCTCTCCTGATAGAAAGCGATTTTGCTTCGAACCATTTAAATTTCCGTTAAAACTGTGCGAAAACCCTCCGTTGCCCCTGATATTATCGCGACCTCCTGAAATATTCTGCTCTCCTGATAGAAAGCGATTTTGCTTCGAACAATTTAAATTTCCGATAAAACTATGCGAAAACCCTCCCTTGCTTCTGACATTATCGCTACCTCCTTAAACATTCGATTCTGACAGAAATCGACTTTGCGCTAAAACACTGACATTTCCAGTGAAGCTGGGCGAAAACTCTCCACTGCTCCTGACATTATCGCTACCTCCTTAAGCATTCTGCTCTCCTGATAGAAAGCGATTTTACTTCGAACCATTTAAATTTCCGTTAAAACTGTGCGAAACCCCTCCGTTGCTCCTGATATTATCGCGACCTCCTGAAATATTCTGCTCTCCTGATAGAAATGGATTTTGCTTCGAACCACTTAAATTTCCGATGAAACTGTGCGAAAACCCTCCGTTGCTCCTGATATTATCGCTACCTCCTTAAACATTCTGCCCTCCTGATAGAAATCGATTTTTCTTCGAACCACTTAAATTTCCGATGAAACTGTGCGAAAACCCTCCGTTGCTCCTGGTATTATCGCTACCTCCTTAAATATTCTGCTCTCCTAATAGAAAGCGATTTTGCTTCAAACCAGTTAAATTTCCGATGAAACTGTGCGAAAACTCTCCGTTGCTCCTGACATTATCGCTACCTCCTTAAACATTCTGCCCTCCTGATAGAAATCGATTTTTCTTCGAACTACTTAAATTTCCGATGAAACTGTGCGAAATCCGTTGCTCCTGATATTATAGCTACCTCCTTAAACATTCTGCTCTCCTGACAAAAATCGAATTTGCGCTGAAACACCGAAATTTTTTCTGATTTTCTCGCCACCTCCTTGAACATGCTGCTGCCCTGATACAAGACGAAATCTTCATGTACCCGCAAAATTTCGCCAATAGAGAGCATCTACAACGACGGAAAAAATAGCGTAACGCTAAACTTCTGCTCCTGATTGAATGCAGTAAGTGAAAAAAACACACATGGCGTTGAAACGGAACTTCTTATATTTATTTATATTCACTCTTTGCAGCAGATAATAAAAAACACCTTTCGAGCAAACACTTTCACACAAATTGTTTTCGACTACAACAAAAAAATGCTAATTATATAATTAAATTTACAAATGCGCATATTATCGTTAGCCTACACTTGGGCCTTTTCGTTTTCCGGGGGACTCGACTTGCTCTTCTCCTTGTTCCACTCTTTCAGTCCTTTAGGGAGAAAAAAGTGTTGAGTAATTGTGTGTTTCAATACCTGAAAAAAATTACCTTCAGGCAAAGTAGTGTCCTCCTCAAACGAGCCAGTTCCCTCCACAAACTGCTCATAGGTGGACTTTTCTGGGAAGGGACGTTTGCCGAGAAGTTCGATCATGTCGTCCCTACTGATCACTTCCAGTTTCAGTAGTCGTTCGGCTACTTTCTCCACTTTCTCTTTGTGCTCCGTCAGCAGTACTCTAGTTTTGGCGTGGGCTGACTCGATGAGGCTCCTGACCTACTCCAAATAACGTGAGACAATTGAGCCCTTTCTAATCAACAAGCTCTTACCTCAACGTCGATCATTTGCGCCGTTTCCTCCGAATAGGGCTTCTCTACCATCATCTCCCCCTCTCTGGGCATGTCGAAACTCACGTTTCCCACCTTCTCGTTCATTCCGTAATGCACAATCTGGCAAATACACAGGAATTTAAAACCCACTACTCCACAGTGTGGCGAATGTTCCTTACTTGGGCATACGCGCTCTGAGTAACTTTCTTCAAATCGTCCTGAGCCCCAGTAGTGATTCTGCCGAAGAAGATTTCCTCCGAAACACGACCCCCCAAAGTCATGCACATCCGGTCGAAAAGTTGCTCCTTCGAATACAGATATTGATCTTTGGGCAAGTATTGGGCGTAACCCAAGCCTTTACCTCGAGGAATTATTGATACCTATGACCGAGAAATAATATGCGGATTTATTGGCTAAATGATTGAACACTGACCTTCAGCAGCGGATCTGCGTGTTCCAAAAACCATCCAGCAACAGCATGGCCTGCCTCGTGATAAGCCACGGTTTTCTTCTCCTCGGGCGACAGCACGTTGGTCTTTTTTTCCATCCCTAAAAAATCAATACAGCAACTGAAGGAAGACGTCCCACCTAGAACCACTTACCTGCAACAACTCTTTCGATCGCCTGTTCGAAATGCTTCATAACGATTCTATCATTTAAGTCTCGAGCGGCTATTAAGGCTGCCTCGTTGCAAACATTGGCAATATCAGCGCCTGTGAATCCTGGAACGCAACACTTTGCGTAAACCAAAGCGGGCTTAAATCGGCATATCCCTACACTCACCTGGCGTTAAAGCTGCCATTTTCCTGCTTAGTTCGATTTTATCCAAGTCAGTCTTCAGGTGCGCTAAATGAACCTGCAACAGTTTTCCTGTGGGGCTTCCCTTGACTGATGCTTGGGCTTACTTTGAAAATGCTGGCTCTTCCCTTAATGTCGGGAGCTGGAACGAAGATCTGCCGATCGAACCTTCCGGGTCGAAGCAGAGCTTTGTCCAAAATATCCACTCGGTTAGTGGCTGCCAGCACCACTACGTTAGTAGTAGTGTTAAAACCGTCCATCTCCACCAGCAGCTGATTGAGCGTGTTCTCTTGCTCTGAGTGCCCGCCGAAGGAGCGCCCACCCCTTTTCCGGCCCACTGCATCAATCTGCCAAGAGAAGAAATGATAATTTGCACCCTGTAAGCGCGGCAACAACTACTTACTTCATCAATGAACAGTATACACGGAGCGTGTTTTCTAGCCATGGTAAAGAGATCTCGGACTCTGGAAGGGCCCACACCGACAAACATTTCCAAAAACTCCGAACCGGACACAGTTATGAATGGCACGTTGGCTTCGCCGGCCGTCGCTTTGGCCAGAAGCGTCTTACCAGTACCCGGAGGGCCTGAAAGCCAAAGAAATCAGCCCAAATGGTCTCAATATTAGTGAAACTAAGACCTGTTAACATGGCGCCCTTGGGAATTTTGGCCCCCAGCTCAATATACTGTTGGGGATTCTTGAGAAAATTGACAAATTCCATGATTTCGATCTTGGCTTCTTCACAGCCAGCCACGTCYCTGCAAAGAATGATAATCACGAAAAATCAAACCTAATAGCGCCCYATACACGGGCAGATTATCCGTACAGTTCAGATACGTAGAGATTTGATTCGACAGATCCAGATCGGACGAATTAAACCTTTTCCTGTCCACTAATTAACATACCAAGCACGAGTGCCGATTCTTCCAGTGGCATTGGAGGTATCAGATCTGTCCGTTAGTGGAGTGAAATCTTACGTTTCAGACAGACTTGATCTGGCGCGTGGTATTTCAAGTGAAATAAAAGATCTGGTCGTGGCAGAGGCAGATTAGTTAAACTAAGTGTTTAAAATGCGAAGCAAGAAACGGATAGCGAGAGTGAGAAGAAAGTGGGTAGACTAGAGATTATAGACTGGAAGGGCGTCAGCAGCCATAAGGAAAAATCCGGCAAAAAAAATAGAAATCGAATGCACGCTGGGATCTTTTATAAACACGTTGTTATTAAAACAATTATATACGTCATTATAGAAAAACAAACAAACGATACAACATAACATATCTATAATTCAAATACGAATAATCACTTCATACAGTGGCAATTCATTTTCTTCGGCCCAACGTAGGCACAAATTAAATTAATCGACCGCCTATTTACTGGGTATTTTCTGAAAAGCTTCGTCTTCGTAATCGAAGTAATGATTTTCTCCTATGACATTAGCTACTATCTCATCATCTTCCACGATTTCTATAGCCAAATTTTCCATCATCACCTCTTGCCCATTGCTTGAGTTATAACATTATACACTATATCTCAAATCTGTACCAATGTCAACCGTTAAACTTTATCTGAATATGTATTTTCTTTAAGCCGCGGAAGTATGGCATAGCATGACTGCTTAGGCGGCACTAATATCTGATACTAGTATTCGCCCGTACCCACTAACGGCAAAATTCGGTCCGCAAGTCCAGATCTGCAGATTTATTTTGTACGAAATTCGCATCGGGTCGTATCTGGCTCGTGGTTAACCATTAACGCACCGATATTTCTTCGAATTTGGCTCGCCACGTATCAGATATCACAGATATTTCGCTCGTGTATGGGGCGCTAATGCAAAATAAACTTACTTGAATTTCACGCCGATCTCGCTAGAATTTATCAGTTTTGCAGTGCTCTCCATCACACCGCCAAACAAGCCGCCTCCCTTTTTACCTCGTCGGCCTCCCATCATTTCAGCTGAGCGCCTCATCATCCACAACAGAAAGCCAATGATGAGCAGCGTCGGCAGAATGCCTGAAAACCAGCCCTGTTAAGAACCGCTCGCCCAAATAGAACCAAATCTACCTGAGAGACTAGCGGCCTCGATTTCCGTTTTATAAATCACCGGCACGTAATTCTGCGGTTCAATATTCATTTCGTTCTGGGCATTTTCCAAGTTTCTTTCGAACGAGTCCACACTGCCAATATTGAACCAAATGATGTCCTGCAAGGAGCTGAACTAAGTAAATTAGAAAGTGTAACAGGACAGTGTCTTACCCCTTGGCCTTCAGAGGATGCTCCAGGCGTCAGCCTTACTCTAACCCACTTTTTGTTGACTACTTCCAGCTTCTCCACTACTCCTCTGGATAAATAACTGGAAAATAATACTGTTTGATTAGAAGCAATTATCCACAGCCTGAGTCGTTCGAAATGCCTACTTGTAAACGAAATCCTTCCAGGCCACCTCCTTGTAGCCCATCTCCCACATGGTGATAGTCCCTAGGAACGCTACGGCGGCTGCCGCCCCCAAAACATACCATTTACCCTGGTCGCTTTCCCCAAACGGTTTTCCGCCGCTTCCCCTAAAGCCACCCAAAATTGACTCGTTTTGGAATACTTCAAAGCTGCGAAATTTACCTGCTGCCTGTGCCGCCAAAAAGCCCGAACGACCATTGATCGTAGGGCTTCTTCTCGCCCGGCGCACCTCCCAGGGAGGGTCTAGGCGTCTTCTGCTCGGGCTTGGCCTCACTCCCTAAAAAATCCCCATTCCTAGCAATTCCTAACTTTAAACGAGGGCTACCTTTGGTCTCCTTAGCCTCTTTTTTCGCTCCCTCTTCTGGCTTGGCATCTTTTGCGGCAGGTTTGCCTTCTTTGAAGTATTTCTCGAAACCTTTGGGAGGCTTTTCGCAAAACAGCCTCCATTCCTTGAGTATGGCCCTTTTCAATGTTGAGTTGTTCTGGAACAGGAAAGAACTTGTTTACTCAATGGCAGGGCTGGTCTGGTGTGAATGAATTAATTGTGTGAATGCCGGTTGGTGTGCAATCAGGCGCTTCGCCACATAGTAGCTTGAGAGAAAATTGGGGCCTCTGACAGGGCGCATAGATTAGGTAATCGTTGGACCGTTCGTTGGCTCACCCTCGGAACATTAGCATTGCATTGTTTGAACGTTTTCCACACAAAATTTTCCAACCTTCTGCCAGTACTAAGCAGCCGGTATGCCATGTCAGAATGAGAAAAACGCAGAAATAATCACATAACTTTCAAAAGGCAGTCAGAAGCTAGATTGTCTAACCTCACTTTGTATATACCACAGGGAGAATGAAAAGCGTCACTGTCAAGTGATGACGATAAAAATCTGCGCCTACAACAGCGCCTCCACCATTGTCCAGAACGATTGGGGTTATTGTGGTTGCATATAAGCTGTTAAAGGACTACGAAAGAAATATAAACCAGAGACAAGTTTTGCCTCAGTGTGCAACTAATATTAATCAATGACTGGCTGAATCGCGATTTCTGCACTGAAATAGTAATGACGACGCCAGATGTCGTCGATATGCTGGTGGGTTTGAGGCAAGCAAAACTGAGTCGCAAACTACGAAGTTAAAATGAAATAAAAAATAGCCAAAACATCGCCTTTTGGAAGAAGCCCAATCCCTATTCTACTAGGGCTTGAACAATGTGCCTTGATAAAGCTGACAATAAACGAAAAATCCCCACTTGAAGAGGCAAAAAAGCGCTCGTCAGCATTTTGCCGTCACATAATCCCCCCCGGGAAACTGCCCAGACCACACCCCAAGTCTTGAGCTCCCCGCCAATTCGCGTCCATTTTTTGGGCGGCGCGAAGCTCCGCCCCGACGCCGGCGTGGAAATGGCGTCGTCGGAAAACTCCGCCAGGAGGCGCTATTTTTCCGGAAAACCGGGAAAAGCCAAAGTGGTGCGTTGTCGAATTATGGACGAGCGGTGATTTGCAAAAAGTTTTTTGAACGCCCGCCGTCTTTCCCTGACCGAAACGTACGGATATTTTCACTCAAATGATGGGTAAGATTCCAGTTTATTTGTTGGTTTTACGTAGGTAGACAAGTGTCATTGCTTTTGTAGTTTTTTTTAATTTTCCTTTGTAGTGTTGCACGAAACATTTGCCGCAGCGCATATAAATCAAGCGAGTTTCTCAGCTCTTTACCTTCTTGTTCACACAGTTTGTTTCAATTGTATTTCTTTACTTTGCGCGTCTTTCTGGCTAGGTACTTTTAGCTCGAACAAAAAATGCGAAAAACCAATGATTATGTGCTGTCGCAAGTGATATGCACCTGTAAGCGGGAAAATCTCCCCATAATTCATACAACAGAATCAATTTTGCCCGCTCGACTTCATCGGATTATCCCCTGATATGCTTAAAGGGGCCCCCGAACTGTCTAATTGATAGAATATGCCAAACATGTTTACGGGGATGTCTGAGGAACGAGTGGGCCTTTCCGCAAAACGCGCCCAAAATATTAATTTTGCTCTGGTAATACCAGGACTGTATCAACCGCACGTCTTCATCATCATTGTGCAAAGTGAGCGATTGATCGCCTGTGTTGCTCTCAATCGTGTGTTTTCTTGTGTAACTCCGTCCTTTTGGGTTAAAGTGTTATTTCTTTGGGTTGGTAGTTTCAAGAGAATGACCCATCCGCCATTCGTTACGCCTAGTTGTGCGAATGAAATTTCACTTTCGAAAGGCCTGTAGGGGAAATAATTCAAATAGTGTCTGAGATATTTCATTTCGCATGTTGAAAGGGATTCCTCGCGTTTAAATACACGTGTACAAACGAGAAGGGGTTCACGGGAGGAATTGGGGACGCTCCTCGGCTTTCCGATGGGCAAATCTAGACCGTTTTGAGATTCGATTCGATTCCCCATTTTTGTCTAGCTGAAGCAATGAGCAGCGAGAAACAAAAAATTAGGGTTTTTTGGGGAAACAACGACCTAAAAACCTACCTGACTTAATTTTTTTGTAATGTTTAATTGTTTTCTGTTAACGCCTGTTATACAAATTCAGAACTTAAGACGAAAAACGTCCAATCGGGTTTGCGACTTACTATTTTTTTTGCGGCGCGTGCACGTTTGAAACGCATTTTCCAGCAAGCTAAAGTTTGAAAATTTCTATAACCGCTACCAGTGGCCGAAACCTGCTCAAATCTACCATACTTCTCCAGGAAGGTTTCACCTACAAATATCCAGAATTGCAGAATTATATCGTCTCGGGTTTGCAAAGTTATGATTTTTTTACATGCAGAAATGCTTTTTTGAATGCCCAAAAACTTCAAAGTTTCCAGAAAATCAACCAGTTTTCCCAATGGCACGAAATTGTGTGAAGCTACTCACTGAGCCATTGGCAATGACAATCCATAATTTCAACTTCAAGTAGAATTTACGAATTTTGAACTTTTGGATTCCTGAAAAAGCGCTAAGGCTTGAAAGACTCGATAAATTATACTACCTGCCAAAACTTCCTGAATATTGTTACACGTATTTCACAGGGAATGAAGTTTTAAACCAATCGTGCAGGCTGGAAATGCGTCAAAGGCGCCCGAACGTTTAAACATTTTTGGAAAAATATCAGCCATTTGAATCGAATGAAACTCTGACAACCTATTCACCGATTCATTCGCTTCAAATGCCCAGAATTTCAGCTTTAAATGCACTGGCGTTCAAGGGCGGATCCAAGGGGGGGTCATGGGGGTCTTGACCCCCCCATTCAATTCTCTATCCAACGATGCCAAAATTGAGAAACTTCGAAAAAAGCAGCGTCATATTCAAGTGAATTTTTCAACTAAAAAAAAACCACGCAAATCTAAAACTTCTTGATTTCAAGCATTTTTTGAAAAAACTGCCAACAATTCCCCATCCATGCTTCACTTTCCAAAAAGGTCATTTATTTCTGCCTAGAATGATGTACAAATGAGCGTTC